AGTACAAATGTGCCGCTGCTGAGGCCGGTCAAAGGAAGGAACTTGGGTGACTCCCCATCTGCAGAGAGATTCTGAGGAATGACAGTGTCACCAAAGTCCCTGACAGTCTCCCAGAGAAACATCTTGACAGGGTACAAGGCTTGGCTGAAGCCATGATATAATATCACAATTATATAACAAATATAGTTGTATTTGCTGTCATTTAAATAGTTCATATTTGTAAAATATGTCATATATAAAGTATGTGCGTGGATAGACACCTGCTGATGGGTTTGGGTGGGGAGAGAAGAGACACAGCATCGCTGGTACAGTTTCTGAAGCAGAGAGGCAGGGAGGCGTGGCTACAGAGGAGCAGAGACAGGGGCCTGTGCGCCTTGCTGTGCGCTGGGCACCAACAGTTTGCACAGAGGAGTATGTCATTTAGCCCTCGCAACCAGGCTGGGACGAGGGCACACAACACTGAAGGCAATACCCAGTCTTAGGGTTGCACAGGTGCAGGGTGGACATCTGCACGACCCTGGTGGTGACCGCTGCCTCCAATCTAGCACTCCGAAGGGCCTCACTCACCTTACCCGAGGCCCGGACCTGCTGGCCATGGTCCTGTGAGGTCAGTACCACCTGCTTCCTTTGCGGATGAGAGAACAGAGACTTATGGGGGGTTGAGGATCTTGCTTCACTTTCACATAAGTGGCAGCGGAGCAAGGATGTGACCCCCAGGCCACTGGACCCCAAAGCGTGGGCCTTGAGAGACAGTGCCAAGCTGCCTCTTAGCGCCCCACTTATGGCTCTGGTTGCTTCTTTGCAGGTGTCCAAGGCAGCTGCTGACCTGATGGCCTACTGCGAAGCACATGCCAAGGAAGACCCCCTGCTGACCCCAGTCCCGGCCTCAGAAAACCCCTTTAGGGAGAAGAAGTTCTTCTGCGCTATCCTTTAAGTCTTCATGGGGAGCCTGCAGAGCCCCCGGGCTCCTGGGACATTGATGTAGAGTTTTTAGCAAAGTGGGCGCCTTTCTAGTCCACAGCATTTGAAGAGAGCAAGGAGAACCATCTGGCAACTCCAGGCTATGCATGTTTAAAGAGCTGGCCCCCTGCGGGAGCGCGAGCAGACCCACATCCTGAGTTAAGAGATCTGATTCTGCAGAACTGCCTGGAGGAGCGGAATATACACAAGTAAAAATTGGTGTCACTTCTTTTCTGCTATCTCTCCCCCAAAACCTTATGTTTCTGCTTCGTATTTAAAAAATAAAAGTTCTAACAGACAGCTGTCCTGAGCTAAGATACATCTGACCTTCTTGGAATGCATATTGTCTTTAGAATCCCCTGTGAGCAGCTCAGCTGTCCAGTGTGGCCGCTGTCTGGTCTAATGGCGTTGGTGTGTAGTCCTCGTGCCTTTCTTCCTTCCTACTCCCACCCTCCCCTCCCCTCCCCCATCACAGTGGTATGGAGATAAGGTTGGACTTGTCTATAAGATTGAACTCCAAGGATGAGCCCCAGAATTGTTTAGGGTGACGTTCCCCGTGCTGTACCCTCATGGTAATAGCAACCACCACCCAAACTGCCAGTTGTCTTGTTCTCTTTTCTCTATTCCTAACATTTGTACATTATAGCTTCGACTCCACAAGTACAGGTAAATCACGTGTTGTGACTGGTGCTTTCATATGTTCGTGACAATTTTTGATTAATACTGCATGAAAATGTCCCTATGTTACATCCATTCAGAAGTTTTGTTGTTTTACTAAAACGTTGGAAAAAGAAATGAGAGGGGAAAGATTCTGGGAAGGAAAAAATTCCGTATTTTGAACATTGAGATTACTCCAGAGTCTTAGCCATGCCTAAAATACCTCCCAGTTAAGAGTTGTATAAAGGCCTCTTCAGTATATTTTCCAGAATCCAAAGCAATTTTTTTTTTTTTTTTTTTTTGGCTGATCCAGGGCAGCACAGCAACCACCAGTCAGGAGAGTAAAGGGTCCCTTGAGCTGGGAAGAACTTTTATCATAGAGTATAAGCAAGTTCCCTCTTTCCCCGAATCAGATTAAAAGAACACTCTGTATGCAGGAAAACCATGGCCCTTTTTTGTTCAAGTATCAGAAGAAACAAACCCACAGCTCCAGGGGAAGTGACCCATCCTCAGAAGCCCAGCCGCTGGCCCACTAGGGAGGAGGACCCCTCTCTGGGGGCAGATGTGGTCTCCACAGCCGGCTCCGCCCAAAAGGGTTCCAGCTCTTTTCCCCCACAGAGACAGTCTTGGGTCTTCCCTCCCTGAAACTGTTAACAGAATCTTTAGTTTTGTTGTCTGTCCTGTTTGTTAGCGTCTCCTGGTCCTTATTTACAACGCGCTTGCAGCTGGAGCCTCCCTCGGGAGTGTCAGGGCTTGGAAGCTTGATCACTTTTTTCTGTGTCATCGATAGTCAAAGAGGGCCTCCCTTACATCTTGTTTGCTTTCAAATCCCAAAAGGCCATTTCCCAGCTAATTTTATTCTCTTCTCATCCCGCTCCATTCTCTCCTATTTTAAAAGCCCAGAAGTATAAAAAGGCAGGGGAAAGGAAAATAACAAGACCTAATATGCCAAGGACAGATTCAAAACAGACTTGGTCAAGGTCATCTTTGGCTTCTTCATGGGCGTGCTGGTATAAATGCATCCGGTTAAAGCTGGGCTGGGAGAGCAGAGGATCCTGAAACATTTGTGAAATGTATGAATAGACTTCCTAACCAGATGCTTCTGTTCTTCTCGAATTTTTGGATTTTGTTACAGTCAGTGAAATGCTGATGAAGCATTTAGGGGGAAAAACCTAGCAGGGTGCTTATTAAACTACAGTCCTTTACAACTGTCGTAGCTTAGTAATACTGTGGAATCAGCTAAAACCATAGCACACTTTAAAATGAGCCCAGACACGAATACGTGGTCTCATGAAAACCACTGTGAATAAAGCGCTTTTTGGTGGTGATGAAGGCATCATTAGAAGGCCTGGGTGATTTTCATAATTCACAGCATTTCCTTTTCCCGGAAGGACTCTTTATATTCTCATGTAAATCTAAATCTTTGGAGCAATTAAGATGAAATTAAAATTTTTAGGAAGCACCATGATATGGATCTGGTGATTAAAAGTTAAGGAAATTCCAAACTGCCTGTGCTGTGTTTGTAAAAAGAGAGCAGAAAATGCATAGCCCATCTGAAATTAAGCTCACAGAAAATGTTCGGGACCTTTTATAATTTCATGTCTCACACTATGGAATTATAATGCTAAAATCTTTATATACATTTTGGCTTATTGACATTTGTACTTAATTCAGGGGGAAAAGTCTTTTTATTACTTATGTCTCTAAAGAGTTTAATTCCTTTAGAAATTCAACCGTCATTCTCACCAGCACAGTTGTATCTTACAGAGTAACTAACAGGAAAACTCATCTTATTTGTTTAAGTCCCTAGTCTCTGTAGATAATTTGCTGGTTAGTAATGAAAACCTGCCATGGAACTAGTTAATAAGTAGTAATGTTAAATTGCATATTTAGAATGCAAAATCTATACAGAAAAAAATATATCATCCTCAATATTACTCCGATTTAAAAATTGTTCTTTTTTATGATTTGAAACCAAGCACTACTTACTTTAAATCAGGATGCACAAAAGTACTTTGATCTGAACCTGATTTCACGAATAATATTTGAAAGAGATTGCCTACCAAGGAAAAATTAAACAATAAAAATTATTTCTCCTTACACTGATACTCACATAAGAAATTTTGAGAAAATATAGTATGCTACCTTAAAAGATTTTTGTACTTTTTCTTTCCTACTATTTGTGTCTGGCTGCTCCTGGAATTCATGAATTGTTACTTGTATATTAATGTTTCACAGCCCAAGAATTGTTTGCCTTTTTCCTGTGCAAGATCTATGGTGTGTCTCTTTCAAAGAGAGGGAAATGCAGAGCTGTTAAGGCAAGAAAACCTGAATGTGATGTGCACGTTTTCATCCCCCTTGAACTATGTGTTTTAATAAATGGAATTTTCAGACCATGTCATATGCAAATTCATTGAAAAGGCCACCTCAGCCACTGATTCCACGGGTAATTTGGAGGAGGATCTGATAATACAAAGAGATGGAAAAAGAGGAATCCATTGGTTTTCTTTAAAAAGATGTCCTACGGAAGAAAAAATTCACGTAACAGTCTTTAAACGCCTTTCTCCCTGGGTCTCTGTATCTCAGGTACAGACCTTGATTGGGGGCTGAGAACGATGGGGTGGGGCGGGGCACCCACGGCCCAGCAGCTTGGGCCATGCAGAAAGAAAGATGAGCTGTATTTGCACTTTAACTTGCTGTGAGTCTGCCACACGGTATTTTCCTTTATGAAAAAGAAAAAAAACAACAACACTTATGCTTTCCATAAGCGGTCCATGATTTTAAAGGAATACAGGCGACTATACATCCTTACAACCTGACTTCAGCAGCTCCTCAGAGATCTTCTTAGCCAAAAAAGATTCCAAATGTCCTTCAAATTATGCTAATATCAGTTGAAAAAAAATTAAGGAAACACAAAATCTCCTAGGGTTGAGCCACCACCAGCAGCATCTTTAAGCCACAGATGATGGTGCCACTTGGCACCAGGGCTCCATGGACACGACTGTTCCTCTGACTGTGGCCGGTGACCCACCAGCTGCAGAATGACTTGGAATGCCTCTTTAAGAGGCAGAGCCTGGTTCCCCCACTAACTCAGAACCTCTGGCAGAAACTCCTAAAGACATGTATTGTGTCGCATGCCATAGTCTGGGGACCCCTCATGCCGCTAAAGGAAAGGCACAAACAGGTCGTAGGTATGTCCGCTCTTATTCTGCTGGCCGCACGGTGTGAACACGCGGAACCCGTGCGTGAGAACCCAGCTAGCTCCCCCGACAGGTGACTGCGAGGAGGGCGCCTCCCAGTCCGGCCCGGGTGAGCGCGGCCTCCAGCTCTCATTCTTTAATAAGCTGGTCACACTGCAGACGGCGCTCACAATGACAGAGGAAATTGGAGCTGGGTCAGCTCCAATCCACAAATTGCAAATTATTTGCCAAGGGAAATCCCTTTCCCTTTGGTTCTGCCCCAAATCTACATTTTCTTCTATTTAGAAACAGGAGGCTCGGGCAGGATTTATTTTAATGAAGGGCCCTTGGGCTGCCAGGCTTTCCGCCCCGAGAGCGCTCGCGGTCTCTCCGCGTCAATAACGGGGAAAGCCGGGAGGGGGTGCTGCGTCTCCACCCCGAGGTGACAAAGTGTCCGCGACCTCAGTTCTGTGGGCCAGAGTCCATTTGACACGAGCTAGGAGCCACAGCGGGCCCCGTGGCCCCTTGGAGAGGTCCCCTCACCACCGCATGCTGTAAAGTGGGACAAGACTGCGGGAACCGGGCAGCTCGCGGGAAGGTACAGACCCGGCAGACGCCACTCGCCCGCAACCCTGCAGAGAGAGCAGTCAGCCCCCTCGCCTCCTGGCTCCCCGCTTTCCAGCCCGCTGGCTCACGCCCTCCCTGCCTGTGTCCCAAATCCTCGGGCCACCCCGACTCCCACCTCCTCCCGCCGCGGCCACGTCCCCGCCCCTGCATCCATCACTCGGGACTGCCCCGGTTCTAAGCGGCTGACACGTGGAGCTGAGGCGCCCTGAGCTGGGCCCCTTCAAGCACAGCCGGGTGCAGTGCTCCGACGTGCCACCGGGTGTCACTGTCGCGGGCACCTGCTTTCCTCTGTGGCCGACACCTGCCCTGCAGCGTCCGGAGGGCGTCGGCGGTTCCAGGCTTACATCTCACCAGTCCCGCAATCACCAGGAAAGTCCCTGAACGTATCCCTGGAACACTTCCCAAGACCCTTATAGGCTGGATCTGGTTCCTGTGCCCAGGTGAATAGAGGTAGTCACTGTGTCCCCACAGGCAGAACAGCACTGTAAGGGACATTGAAGTCCTTTTACTAGAAAAGGAGCAATAAAAGTTTAAAGGCAAGAAACAGCTGGTGCCAATCACATATGGCCAGACTGACAGTGTCGCCTCCGCTTTCACCATGCTCAGAAACCAGGGCGCTCTCAAGCACACCAAGTCAACCCTTAACATCTTGGTTCTCCAGGCCCCAGAGAGCCAGGCTGCACCCTGCTAATCCCGTCTCATCTCCCAACCCTCCGTTCTGCCTCACCCTGTCCCTCCCACGGCCCTGTGCATATAGCCCTTCTCCACGCTAAAGCCCACTTCGTTCCCGCCTCTGGGATGGCATCACACAATTCCTCAAGTAACTAAACGGTGCTCGTCTTTCAACC